AGAAGATTGTTTGAGTTTGATTGACAGTCTCGCTCTGAACACACAGTGGATTATCACAATATAATGAGCTTCCATATATCATCAGAGCAGGAAACATCGTGTGCTTGTGTAATGATGTATATACAGGTGTGCCCACAGTACATACACGTATACATATCAGTGAAACCATTGAAAATAATGACACCCGGCTGACCTTTATACAGGTCATTTCAGGGGATAAAATTCTCACAGCGTCTTAAACTGAGAATCAGAAATAAGGTCTAAAGTCTCATAAATAATTGAAAAGAAGCCTGTTTTTCTGAATATAATTCATGCTCACTGATATATGCTGTGATACACACTCTTCATACATATAGACATGCGATTTGCTTAGAGGCATGTTTCCAAGACATATACAAGCATTTTTCTCTGTGTGAGCTGCATGAAAGGACCTGCGGTGAGGCATAATGTACACCTGCATTTGTGTTTGTGTGTGTATATGTTTGTGCATGTGTGAGTGAGAAAGAAAGAGAAAGAGAGAAGATGAACTTCCTTTCTCACTATTTCTATAGGCATAAAAAATGTTTTAAATGCAATAAAATGAAAAATTAAAATAAAATAACACAAGATAATTGAAAGATAAAATATGAGTGAGTGAGAAAGAAACAGGAGAAGGAGAACGAATGGAATTCCTGTCTCACTATTTATTTAAGCATAAAAATACTATAAAAATAAAATAAAAAACTAAAATAACACAAGATAATATAACAATACAATTTGACAGACAGAGAGAGAGAGAGAGAGAGAGAGAGAGAGAGAGAGAGAGAGAGAGAGAGAAATGGTTTTCCTTTCTAAGTCTTTCTTCTTATATATATATAGTATTTCATATTTTAATTCATTTTATGCCCGTAAATAGTGAGAAAGGAAAAACATAATACAAAACATAAAATAATATAAAAATAATAATAAAATAAAATAACGAAATACTATTTTAAAGTTTATTCAATTGCAAAGGGTGATCTTGAGGGGCAAAAGTTTTTTGTGTCATTTTACTTTAATAAATTATTGTGTTATGCTATTTTGACCTTTCCTAAATTAAACTTGACAGTGTCAGAAATGATCTACAATGTTAACTGTTTATTAACATTTTAATTTACAGATATTTTCAGTATGTAGTAGTTATCAACCAAGTACAAGGTGGACCATTGCAGTGTACAGTTTAGACAACAACAAAAAAGGTACCTGACTGTGTACTTGACAGCTTTAATGAAGGAAATATTTACATCCCAATGAATCTGCAGATTACACATTAAAAACAATAGAGAAAATATGTCTTATTTTTGCTTTATTTCTTTTAAACTTACAATTTAGTTAATTTAAATTAATAAAAAATATGTCTAATAGAAACACATCAATTTTTTAATAACTTTCATACATCGCAAAATCATTTTATGATTAAATGAGCAGGTTTTTCAGGCAATTTGAAGAAAAAAAGTTTGCAAAACTGCAGTTGAAATACTATTCTCTAAATGAACAGATTAAGTATTTTGTAAAAGTCACATGATCTTTGATCTAAAGATTATGTAGTATAACCTCCTGGGGGAAAAAATCATGGTTTGGGGTTACATTCAGTTTGAGGGTGAACAAAAGATCTGCAAAGTGGATGGCAACATCAACAGCCCCGAGGTATTAAGACATTTGTGCTGCCCATTACATTACAAACCACAACAGAGGGCAAATTCTTCAGCAGGATAACGCTCCTTCTCATACTTCAGCCTCCATATCAAGGTTCCTGAAAGCAAAGATGGTCAGTGTGCTTCAGGATTGGCCAGCCCAGTCACCAGACATCAACATTATTGAGCATGTCTGGGGTAAGATAAAGGAGGAGGCATTGAAGATGATCCAAAAGAACTCTGGGAGTCCTGCATGAACGCTTTCTTTGCCATTCCAGATGACTTTATTAATAAATTACTTTATTTATGTCTTTATTTAATTTGATGATGGACAAAAAGTTCAGCCAGTGTGTAAATGTAATTGAAACAGCATGAGGTTGTATTTACTTATTTAATGTGTTAAAAATTCAGACAAAAAGTTTGGCTTTCTTTGCCTTACTTTTTGCATAACATGCTTACAACTATTTTGTTTAAGCTATGGCAGTGATATACATAAACCTACAAACATCTGTTATCAAAATTGTTGCACAGATTAGGTTTTTACACAGCACACTTAATGAAAAAGCTGTCAGTTCACAAGAGTTTTTAGAAAAAATATTAATATAATCGAAACACGTTTTCCTTCATAGTAGCTGTATCCTCATTTCCATTGAAAATTGAATATTTAAGGTCTGATGTAACACAAATTGATCATAATTACTCAGTGTTGATTTCAACAGGTGCTATACTAAATCATTCTATCACACTGGCTTTTGGGGAAATCTAATTTGATCCAAATTCCATTAATGATGTCGATACTCTCACACCACCCTCCTCTCTCATACAGTACCTCTAAACCATTTGCCCAAACACTCCTCATCCTCATGATAGCACATGTATATGTGTGTGTGTGTGTGTGTGTCTGCATGCATGTGGGTTTACGTACGCACACCATCGCCTTCAGCAACGGCCCCCAACCACGGTTGCCTAGCAACATCCATCTGCGAGCAGCCTGGAATGAGCCCAAATTCCCCACTGAGAGGGAAACAGCAATAAGAGGGCCTGTGACAGATGATCTGAGTTGTTTCATCTAATACACTGTGAAGATCACCGGCTCTCTCTCCCTGAATGATAAATGGACTGTACACAGATCAATGGGCGCAGCATTAAACCCAAAAAAGCCCAGGTAGAGCTGTGTTCATCTTTAGTGCTGGAGATCTCAATATATCCCCATTTACCTGGAGAGATTTGATTCTGAAGTAGTGCTTATGTGGCAGTAAAGCACTCTATGATGTATTTACAACAGCTGAAGGAGTCGCTGTGACAAACAGACATAATAAACAGCATGCTGTCATAGAGGAACATGTGCTGATTAGCTCAGGAGATGAATGTGATTGAGTGAAGAGATGGAGCGATAGGGCTAATATTATCAGCATTAATAGTCGAAACAGGAAAATATTGATTTTTTTGTTAGCATTCAAATTAAATTGTAATTCACAATCAAACTCTTGAAAACTCTAATGCTAATTTTAACAATTGTACTATGTCTTGTTCAACATGTGTAAATGGCAGAATTCAATAACACACAGATTAATAATAAAAAAAAATCATATATTGTTTGTTTTTAGAATTTGAAAATAAGTATTTTTAAGGTCAGTGGTATTACATTAAACAAAGAATTCACTGACAGATATAGAATCTGAACATATAGATATAGATATAGAACATATAGAATCAACATACACTACATGTGTAATATGTGTTTGAAATAAATTATTTTTTTGTTTGCATTGCAATGGTATTACAGTATTTTAACAAAATCAGTTACAAAACGTAATGGAAGTTCCTACATGGTACTACAATTACCAACTTAAATCCTGCATTAAAATAACTATAAATAGTTAATATAATGAATTATAATTCACATTATATACACTACCTGACAAACGTCTTGTCGTCGATCCCTGTTGTAAGAGCAGCACATAATAACTCGACTTCTAGTTGATCATTTGGAAAAGTATTAGAAGGCAGATTTTTCAGATAAATCATCTGTTGAACTGCATCATAATCATCACAAATACTGCAGAAGACCAGTTGGAACCAGCAGGGACCCAAGATTGTCATAGAAATAAGTCAAGTTTGGTGAAAGAAAAATCATGGTTTGGGATTACATTCAGTATGCGGGAGTTGATGGCAACATTAACAGCCTGAGGCGTCAAGACATTTGTGCAACCCATTACATTACAAACCACAGAAAAGGGGAAATTCTTCAGCCGGATAGCACTACTTGTCATACTTGAGGCTCCACATCAAAGTTCCTGAAAGCAAAGTAGGTCAAGGTGCTCCAGGATTGGCCAGCCCAGTCACCAGAACATTATTGAGCATGTATGGGGTAAGATGGAGGAGGGATTGAAGATGAATCCAACGAATCTTGATGAAGTCTGGGAGTCCTGCAAGAACGCTTTCTCTGTCATTCCAGATTACTTTATTAATAAGTTATTTGAGTCAGAGATATATGGATGCTGTTGTCCAAGCTTATAGGAGTCATACAAAATATTAACTATTTTTCCACTGCACCATGACTTTATATTCTATACTGTACATTATTTCTGTTAAGTGGCATTACTGTCCTAATTAAATAATTAAAAAGCAAGGCATGATCATATTTTATTTTGGTAATATAAGCCACTTTGGATACCAAATGATCAACCAGAAGTCAAGTTATTATTTGTTGATCCTAAAACTTGGATAGGTGACAATGCTTTTGTCTGGTAGTGTAATAATTTGTTGTGTTTGTTTTAAGCTTTGTATTTAACTGTCAGGGTTCTGCCACTCTGATCTTGTAAATTCTTGTTTCGGTGGCGGATCTCTGACACTACTCGTGTCTGGTCCTGTTTCTGTCTCTGTGTGCGCGCGCGCCGTCGTGGGTGTACGCAGAGTGTGCGCGCTCCTGCTTGACGCGGCCGCGTGCGCGCTCTGCGTCCCTCAGACGCGTGCGCTCTTGTACTCGTGTTTGTGTTTTCGTCTGTCAGCAGCATGGTGTTTCATTCCCAGCGTCTCAGTCTTGTTGGTTTCGGTTTTGGTCGGCGCTGGGATGAAACATGCATGCTGCATATGTGAGCGCATGGTGAGTTTTCATTCATCGTGTGCTCGTGTCTTGCGTCTTTTGTCAAAGCACGTGGCTCGGTGTTTACATTGTGGTCACGTGCTTTTGTCGTGTGCTTCAGTGTTGTGTTATGTGAGCGCATGGCTTGTATTGTCTCTCTGTGTCATGCGCTCTCCCGTCTATTGTCTAGTCCCACCCTCCTTGTTAACCCATTATTAGTTTGTCATGTTCACCTGTGTCAATTTACTTTTTGCTTTATAATCCCCCTCATGTTTTCAGTCCTTTGCGAGTTCGTCATTATATGTAGTCGATGTTTACCTGTCTTGCTGTGTCCAGTCCTGCCTTGTTGTGCCTGCCCAGTCAAGTTTGTTTGTTTGATTTATTGTTTGTTGTAGTAGTGTTTTAGTAGTGTTTTCCCCCTCGGGGTTGTTTATTTTTGCCTTTTATTTTATTTTTTAATTAATAAATCCTACTTCACTCTGCGCTTGGGTCCTTGCTCCTTTTTCCCTTTACCGGAACGTGACAGTACGAACTCGCCAAAAATGAGGACCCAGCAGAGTGAAGACAGCCCCTTCTCCAGCCGCATACTGCAGCTCATCAGTCTGCAGTCGCTGCGGCAACGTGGCATGAAGGTGGAAAGTTTTGCGGCTAAATTTTGTGTGGCAGCAGAGGGGCTGGGGTTTAATGATCAAGCCCTGGTGAACCTCCTTAACTATGCTCTCGACAAGCCCCTCAATATCCAGCAGATGCTGAAATTGGGAGGGCTATCTTACCATCAGTTTGTGGAGCATTTGGTTCATCAGGCTGCTTATGGCGAACATCCCAATCCCAGCTCTCTGTTGCCCTCTGCTCTGCAGCTAAAGGAGAGAGTGATCCTTCAAGAGAAGAGGATCCCTTACACCAGCGCCACCTCCCAACACATGTCCAGCCCGCAAGGGCTGACCCGCACTCAAAAGCGGAGGTTAAAGAGGAAGACCTCTGCTGCAGTGTCGGCTCCAGCCCCAGAGCGCCCTCCATTGTCGGCTCCAGCCCCAGAGCGCCCTCCAGTGTCGGCTCCAGCCCCAGAGCGCCCTCCAGTGTCGGCTCCAGCCCCAGAGCGCCCTCCAGTGTCGGCTCCAGCCCCAGAGCGCCCTCCAGTGTCTGCTCCAGCCCCAGAGCGCCCTCCAGTGTCGGCTCCAGCCCCAGAGCGCCCTCCAGTGTCGGCTCCAGCCCCAGAGCGCCCTCCAGTGTCGGCTCCAGCCCCAGAGCGCCCTCCAGTGTCGGCTCCAGCCCCAGAGCGCAGCTCAGTGCCGGTCCCAGTCCGGCTCCTTGCCCTGCCGACACCACCCAGACGTCTTGCCCTGCCGGCGTCAACCAGACGTCTAGCCCTGCCGGCACCAGCCCGGCTTCTTGCCCTGCCGGCATCAACCAGACGTCTTGCACAGCCGGCGCCTCCCAGACGTCTTGCCCAGCTGGCCCCAGCCCGGCTCCTTGCCCTGCCGGCTTCAGCCCAGCTCCTTGCCCTGCCGGCACCACCCAGACGTCAAGCCCTGCCGGCCCCAGCCCGGCTCCTTGCCCTGCCGGCACCACCCAGACGTCTTGCCCAGCCGGCTCCAGCCCGGCACCTTGCCCTGCCGGCACCTACCAGACGTCTTTCCCTGCCGGCACCTACCAGACGTCTTTCCCTGCCGGCACCTACCAGACGTCTTTCCCTGCCGGCACCTACCAGACGTCTAGCCCTGCCGGCCCCAGCCCGGCTCCTTGCCCTGCCGGTCCCAACCAGACGTCTTGCCCTGCCGGCCCCAGCCCGGCTCTTTTCCCTGCCGGCCCCAACCAGACGTCTTGCCCTGCCGGCGCACCCCAGACGTCTTGCCCAGCCGGCCCCAGCCCGGCTCCTAGCCCCGCCGGCTCCCCTCTGGTCTTCAGCCCCGCCGGCTCCCCTCTGGTCTTCAGCCCCGCCGGCTCCCCTCTGGTCTTCAGCCCCGCCGGCTCCCCTCGGGTCTTCAGCCCCGCCGGCTCCCCTCGGGTCTTCAGCCCCGCCGGCTCCCCTCGGGTCTTCAGCCCCGCCGGCTCCCCTCTGGTCTTCAGCCCCGCCGGCTCCCCTCTGGTCTTCAGCCCCGCCGGCTCCCCTCTGGTCTTCAGCCCCGCCGGCTTTAGTTAAGTCGCCTCTAGACCAGCCGGCTCCCCACAGGCCTTCATCCCAGCCAGCTCCCTACAGGCCTCCTGCCTTGCTATCCCAGGCCGATCCTCCTTGGGTTGTCCCTCCTGCTCCACCTTGGAGCATGCCTCTGCCACCCTGGACTGATCCTCCGGCTCCACCCTGGTTCCCTGCCGGGGTCCCTGACCCATTGCACCTGTCCTGGACTGTCCCTCCTGATCCTCCCTGGTTTTGCCCTCCCATCCCTCCCTTGTTTGTCTTGTTGGGTCTGACTTGGCTCCCCTCCCTCCCCCCCTTCATGTCTTGCCTGTTCACCTCCCTGTCTTGTGTTTGTTGATGTTGCCTGTTTTGTTGTCTTGTGGTGTTTCTTGTCTGTCTTGTACCTTGTTGGATGTTCCCTTTAGGGACGCCAGGTGGCGTCCCTTTTGGGGGGGGGTAGTGTCAGGGTTCTGCCACTCTGATCTTGTAAATTCTTGTTTCGGTGGCGGATCTCTGACACTACTCGTGTCTGGTCCTGTTTCTGTCTCTGTGTGCGCGCGCGCCGTCGTGGGTGTACGCAGAGTGTGCGCGCTCCTGCTTGACGCGGCCGCGTGCGCGCTCTGCGTCCCTCAGACGCGTGCGCTCTTGTACTCGTGTTTGTGTTTTCGTCTGTCAGCAGCATGGTGTTTCATTCCCAGCGTCTCAGTCTTGTTGGTTTCGGTTTTGGTCGGCGCTGGGATGAAACATGCATGCTGCATATGTGAGCGCATGGTGAGTTTTCATTCATCGTGTGCTCGTGTCTTGCGTCTTTTGTCAAAGCACGTGGCTCGGTGTTTACATTGTGGTCACGTGCTTTTGTCGTGTGCTTCAGTGTTGTGTTATGTGAGCGCATGGCTTGTATTGTCTCTCTGTGTCATGCGCTCTCCCGTCTATTGTCTAGTCCCACCCTCCTTGTTAACCCATTATTAGTTTGTCATGTTCACCTGTGTCAATTTACTTTTTGCTTTATAATCCCCCTCATGTTTTCAGTCCTTTGCGAGTTCGTCATTATATGTAGTCGATGTTTACCTGTCTTGCTGTGTCCAGTCCTGCCTTGTTGTGCCTGCCCAGTCAAGTTTGTTTGTTTGATTTATTGTTTGTTGTAGTAGTGTTTTAGTAGTGTTTTCCCCCTCGGGGTTGTTTATTTTTGCCTTTTATTTTATTTTTTAATTAATAAATCCTACTTCACTCTGCGCTTGGGTCCTTGCTCCTTTTTCCCTTTACCGGAACGTGACATTAACAGTTTAACTAGATAGATAGATAGATAGATAGATAGATAGATGGATGGATGGATGGATGGATGGATGGATGGATGGATGGATGGATGGATGGATGGATGGATAGATAGATGATAGATAGATAGATAGATAGATAGATAGATAGATAGATAGATAGATGGATGGATGGATGGATGGATGGATGGATGGATGGATGGATGGATGGATGGATAGATAGATGATAGATAGATAGATAGATAGATAGATAGATAGATAGATAGATAGATAGATAGATAGATAGATAGATAGATAGATAGATAGATAGATAGATAGATATGATATGATATGATATGATATGATATGATGCTGGAAGCAAAAATATATGTGTTTTGCTGACAGTGCCTTTCATACTTTTGACAATGCCATATTGTATTATACCGGGAAACTAAAGTTTGATTGAAGACATTATTATATTTGTATAATTACATAATACACAATAAATGTGATGAATATTTGCAACCACATTATTAATATCACATGTAAATTCTGATAAAAACTGAATGAACTGTACTCTCTTCCACCTTTGATACCCAGCAAATTTCTCTCTGGTCGCTGGAAGCAACAGGCATATGCACTTCTGCATGTCATGCTATATGTGGGTTGTCAAGGGTAATAATAGCTAATTGACTCTGCTCGTTTTAGTACTACTTAAACATCTCGACAACTAAAGATGCGTGTGAACGACACGAATTACTGAACTCTGGTGTGAACTCAAGAAATCACAGGAATTTACAAACGTTCTGCCTGAGTAGAATCTCCATCCTGGAAAATCAATATACATTTCCTCAAGCAGCACTGATCTACTGTTTCGGGTCATGCTTAACTGTTCTCTCAAAGTCCCCCTCTCCCAAATAAACATGCAAGCAAATGAGTCTATGAGGGAAAATGAGCAGACACTCAGATATTGCGATTCTGCTGTTTTCTGATATCTTGTGCTCCCTCTCTCTGTCTGTGTGTGTGTTTCTTTGTAATCTGATGGGCTGTTGTGTTGTTCACAGGCCGCTGAGAAGCCCAAGCCCAGGAGCACTGCACTCAAGTAAGTGAATAATCAAGTCCAATTCATTCTGATTCTGTGCTGCTGTTGCTGCTGGTGGTGTGGCTGTTGGGGAAACAGCAGGTCATTTGTGGAGATGGAGATCAAAAACTAAACACTTGCAAAATCTACTGGACATACTGATCTATCTATCTATCTATCTATCTATCTATCTATCTATCTATCTATCTATCTGTCTATCTGTCTGTCTGTCTGTCTGTCTGTCTGTCTGTCTGTCTGTCTGTATGTCTGTCTGTCTGTCTGTCTATCTATCTATCTATTGCCTATCTGTCTGTCTGTCTGTCTGTCTGCCTGTCTGTCTATCTATCTATCTATCTATCTATCAAACCATCCATTGATCTATCATCCATCCATCCATCCATTCATTCATCAATCCATCTATCAAACCATCCATTAATTCATCCATCCATCAATCCATTCCTCTATATCTATTAGTTTTTCTTTCTTTATCTTTCCATCCATCCATCATTTTATTATTCAGTCTAACAAATATTATCATTATTTATACAGTTATTGATTTCTAAACGTTAATTTTTCAGAATATCACTCCTAATTCTAGTCAAACATCGAGTTTTTAATTTAATTCCATTTCCATATTCTCCCGATATCTCATCTGTCCACTTGCTTCAGTCAAAGATGCTCCATAGCTTCTAGAGCATTCCTGCATGTATTTTTATCTTCATTTCATCTGTAGTGGTGGTCCTGATGGCTGGGGATTGGGAATAGGAGGTGCAAATGGGGCCTCATTAAGCAGACAGAGAGAAAGCATGGCCTACAGCCGTGTTCCCTCAGTGGGAGTTTGGGACTGGAGGTGCTGGAAGCGTTTCGGCTGCGCTGCTGTTCTCTCTGCGGTGGGTAAGGGGGTGGAGAGGCTCTGACTGAGGGACAGGGGTTTGTCCCAGCTGCAGTTAGTGAGGTGAGAGCTGGGCTGATGAAGCACACCAGAGGACCATTGGTGGATTGTGGGTGGTGCTTTAGTTCTGACACTGAGTGAAAGAGTTGTGGAAGTTTTAATTTTATATATCTCTTGTGATCAGTTTAAAACGTTAAATGTGCCATCTGATCAGTTGCTAAAGTCAAATTTGCTTTTCCGCTAAAGATGGCACTGAGCCAGAGAAGAACATGTTCAACGCTTGCTAAAATTACAACAAATAATATTATTTTAGGTTTTAGACCTTTAAATACACACTAGCAAGTCATAACATTTATAGTTGGTAAATACACACTGATGTCTGTAAGAATGGCAAAAATTATTATTTTTTTAACTTAAAAGGATGATTCACATCTGATGTACAATGTTTAAGTTACTATAATGTATTTTTCTATGATGTAATCTTTCTCCCAGTTAATTTTTTTTTCATAAATTTGGGAGAAGTTGATAAATTGGCCTGCTGTAAATCTATTAGAAAATATTTCTTTGTCAAATAAATCTTCAATTGTTTATCAAATTCTCCAGAACTCATAAATTATCAACATTGAATATAATTTAATTTATTCTGTATTAAAACAGATTTCTGAAG